AGAATTTGGAGCCGGGCTCGGTGGCTCAGCCTGTAATCTTGCGCCTTTGGGAGGCTGAGGTGAGTGGATTGCCTGAGCCCGCGGGTTCGAGACCCGCCTGGGCAGCGAGACCTCATCTCTACAATAAATCAAAAAATCAACTGGGCGTGGTAGCGCATGCCTGTAATTCCGGCTACTTGGAAGGCTGAGGCGGAAGGATCGCCGGAGTCCAGCAGGTCGAGAGGCTGCGGTGACCAGGAGCGGCCACTGCACTCCAGTCTGGGCGACAGAGTGAGACTCCAACTCAAAAAAAAAAAAAAAAAAAAAGATTAGAATTTGGTCACAAAATTGAAGAATCTCAGAATGGGAAGACCCCACTCAATGCAGTCATCTTTTGAACAGCACATTTTACAAGTGATCTTTCAGGTCCAGTATGGACATCACTATCGGCAGAGTTCACACAAATCAGACCATCCTTTATTTCTTCTAGTGACTGTCATATATTGGACCTAATGCCATCAGCCAAAGCAACTGAGAAGCAACTGAGTTCCCATTTTTTCATGATAAACCTTCAAACGCTGGCTAGTCCTTTAAATTGCTCATTTTCTATTACCTCTTCTAGACGGGAGATAATTGTAAATGCTGCTCCTCAAAGTGCTCAGAACAAAACAATATCAAACGTTATCATGGACAATTCCTGGCAACAGAGGCAGAGTGAGATAATAGAGACTGCCTACGCATTCCAACACATGCTTCAAAGACTAGTAAATACTGAGTGAAATGTAAGCTAAAATTTTTACATAACACAGTTAAGTTCGAAGGAGCCTTTTAACACAAAGCAAATTGTTAAATTCATAATCATAAACATAAACTGATAAAGTGGCAGCTTATGAATATTGTGGTCCTGGTTTTGCCTAGGTGCTGGAGATTGGCTTTCCTTTTTCTTTTCTTTTTTTTTTTACTTTATTTATTTATTTATTGAGTTGGAGTCTCACTCTGTCACCCAGACTGGAGTGCAGTGGCCACTCCCGGCC